AACAAGTATTAACTTTAATATTCTCTTGAATCAACTCCATTACTCATGTTGTTTGAACAATCGATTACCTTTTTTATTATGACAAAAAGGGGGAGTACTTGAAATGGAATTTTTTTTTAATTAAAGAATATCTTGTCTTTAAATCATAGCTCAAAGATTCTAACTCTTAAAATGCATTCAATTGATATATTGATAATCAGGCTCTGATTTAACCAATCACTATCTCTATCTGATGCACTTGATAAGAATCGGACTTGAACTATCTCAGACTTTATAAGTTCAATTAGGCTCTGATATATAATCAAGCAATGTTATTATGTATCTGATGAGAACTTTACAACCAGCCTCCGACATCCCAAATCTGTTTTTTTTAGATCTTAGATTCAGGGGGAGCTTTGATTAAGGGAAGTTATTTCTAAACTTATCTCTATCATTTCCTATTGATTATCATCGTATAAAATTGTGTCATCAAAATACATGGTTTTGTCATTATAAAAAGGGGGAGATTGTTAGAACAATATTTGGTTGTGCAAGATATCTCTAAGTTTTAATAATAACAAAGTGGTATTTGTATGAGAATAATTTTGGTACTCTAGCGTTTGTTTTTCTGAAGAATTAACAAACAGGTTCTAACTCTAATAGAGATCATATTTAACGACTACTCTGATCTGACCAGAGTCACTTCTGCGTATAAGAAACAAGTTTGCTTCTGATCTACTATACTTTAGAAAGATTCTAAGAAGAAAATGTGTTGCTGCTGCAATGTTCTCTTGGTTTCTGTTTCTGATCATGACTCTGATAATTTACTTCTGAAGGCTTTCAAGCTTCTAAAGTCATAATCTTCTGAAGACTAAGTGTTGAAGACTCTGAAGACAAGGTTCTGTTGAAAGAAGTTCTGAAGACTCTGAAGAATAAGTGCTGAAGATTCTGAAGACAAAGTTCTGTTGAACGACATTCTGAAGACTCTGAAGACTTAAGTTTCTAATGACCAAAGGTTTTGAAGACTGAATGCTTATAGTTCTGAAGACAAGGTTCTAGTGAACAAGTTCCGAAGACTCAAGACTCTGAAGACCCACTGATCAACTTTTCAACTCATGCTTCAATCATCTCCATTCAGAAGCCTATGATATAAAGAAGATAAGCTCAAACGCATACAAGGGAAAATAGTACATAGTATATTTTAACGTCTCATTCCACTACCATGCCATTACCCTGATTTAGTGGTACAAATAACAACTTTTGTGCATGACTTTCATCCCTGCGTAACGATATTATTTCAAGTCGTCAGCTATCTAAAGGATATTCCTGATCTACCCTCCAACGGATCTTTTTTTTGGCTATATAAGGACTTGATTACTTGAAGAAATTAAGAAGCTTTACAACGATTAATACAAAGGTCACCTTTTGATTGAAACCAACCTATGAAGAACTGAAGCTACAATATTGAAGCACCACAATACAAAGAAAGAATATTATTCATATTGTATCAGTGTCTTTAAGACATTTAAGCTACTAATAGTGTTTATATCTTCTTGTTTAGAAGCAATTTCATTGTAAACATCTTTGTTCAAACTATTATTTGTAACTCCTTAAGGGACCGGTTAGGTCTATATCCTTAAGAAGAGAAGGCTGTATGAGTTGTTAGTCACCAGTGGTTGCTAGTGCATTGTAATTTGTTGATTATAGTGGATTAAGTCTTTATGTTAAGGTGAAATCACTTTGGCGGGTGGGCTGGATTATCTTGATAGTTTTCAAGTGAGCCAGGATATATCATATGTCTTTCTTTCTTGATTAGTCTATTTGTGATTTTTGTTTGAGTTTCACAAATAGCTTTCATTTTTGAAAATCCAGTTGAAACCCCTATTTCTTGTGTTTTCTCACACCTTCACTGGACTCTGATTAAACTTCACTTCATATTTCATATGAAGCCTCTGATTATGACGAGAAGTGTGCTCAAGGAAAGAACAACCAAAAAGAGATTTTCTTATGAAGACAAACTCTAATCTCTACTCAAACTTTAATCCACTAGCATAAGAAGCCTCTGACTATAAGATTTGAATTAAAGGTCAATAGTGTTTGATGTGACATAAGTACAAAAGAAAATTTACTTTCAAATTAAAGAAGTTTCTCACGTCTCATCATCAACACTCTCTGCTACAAGCGCCACTCAACTGTTGCATATAAAGTGACATTTACACATCTGATACTTTAAGGTCAATTCCTATTCTACCTTCCTATGGATCTTTACTACAACGAATTTATTCATATCCTATATATTTTTAGGAAGAGGAATATGAAAAAATAATAGAGTGAATAAGCATGCATGTTGATATGCGTGTGTGTGTGCGCGCGCGCGTGTGAGTCTTAGCTGACGCTGAAGCTACAACACCATAACATAACAAAGAGAGAAACACTTAGAACTTCCATTTTACATCTTTTAAGTGTAATAACTAAGTTTGGTTATATTCTTCAAGCGACCATTTTGGTCCACATCTTGAGAGGGCAATGATAGTTTTTCATTGAGGTTGTATTCCTCAAGCGACCATGTTGGTCAGGTTCTTAAGAAGCCTTTGACAGGTAGTCAAAGAGGATAAATTTCCTTAAGCGACCAGGTTGGTCAAGATCTTAAGAAGTCAACGACCGTCATATTTGTTAGAGGACTGGATATCTCAGAATTCGTAAGAAATTACTGATCAACTATCATTATTTTGTAATCGGACTAATTATTAGATTAAGTCCTTGTCTAAGACGAAATCACTCAGATAGGTGAACTAAATGTAACCTAGTTAACATTGAACCGTGATAAAATACTTGTGTCTTTTATCATTGTTTTTCTTATTGTTGTTGTTATTCTTGTGCTTTTTTTTTTTGGGAACGAAAAAGTTGTCATACTTGAAATCTAATTCTATTGGAAAAATAAAACAAAAAAATAAATTTCTACTCGCGCGGAAGCATACCCCCACAAAAACCAAAAAAGAAAAAGAAGCAAATAATTCCAACAAAAACTCATAAAATCATAATTCAATTTGTAATTTTTAAGGAGAAAATTACAAACCGTCTCATACAATTGCAATTTTAAAGAAAAAATTGCAAACCTACCCATTACAATTTTTGAATGGAAAAATTGCAAACCCTCTTTCAATAGCAATTTTTGAACGGAAAAATTGCAAACTCTCTCTCAATAGCAATTTTTGAACGGGAAAATTATAAACTCTCTCTCAATAACAATTTTTGAATGGAGAAATTGCAAACACTCTCTTAATAGCAATTTTTGAACGAAAAAATTGCAAACCCTCACTCAATAGTAATTTTTGAACGGAGAAATTACAAACCCTCTCTTAATAGCAATTTTTGAATGAAAAAATTACAAACTCTCTCAACAAACTATTTTTGAACGAAAAAATTGAAAACCCTCTCAACAACCTATTTTTGAACGAAAAAATATAAAACTCTCTCTAAACACACAACTATCCAAATTTCTAATACACAAAAGACTACATTTTATTGTTATGTAAAAAAACTAAAACTAATTATCTCTATTTATATTAATACTCAAATTATATGTGTTTCTACTATCCGACGTGAGACGTGGATGAATATACTATTTGACCCAACAAATTCTCCTTTCATCCAAAGTCTAGCGATCATTATAATTATAATGATTAGGCATATTTGTAAAATTATTACTCTTCAATCTTTTTGTCTTCTTCCTCCCTTGATCAGAATAATTGTTACTCTTCCTTCCTCCCTTAATCGGAACCTTAACTCTGATACCGATGATAGGTCATCATGAGGGGGAAGCATTCATGTTGAGTCAACATACTCACTTAAAGGTCAAAGACTCATCCAAACAAGTGAGAGAGACACCACATATTCATCAAAATCCTTAAGGTGATAGGTGTGTGGGTCCTTATAAAGTAGTTTACCTTCGCTTTTTTAAGTAATATGAGACTTAGAACTCACACTTATTTCTCCACACAACTCACACTTATTTTCCAACAAATTCAACCTCCTTCGTTCTCGTGTTTCACGTACCTTCAATCTCTTGTTAGCTAAAAGTTGCAAGTGGTTGAAGTGTCACTGTTATACTTATCATTTATTTCTTTTGTTTAGAAATGTTGAGCTTAAAGACTTTCGCTATTGTATTTACTTTGCTCGTCATAAGCTAAACTTCTTGTGTTGGATTATGTGAAACTTAATAACAGTATAATTTTTTTGTATGTTAGGAATGTATGACCCTGGTATATTTAAGTGATATGTTGTTATGCTATATATTTATTCTTTTGTATGATCATCTTAGAGATGAATAATAGTTTCTTATGACTGATGAATCTTCTAATAAATTGAGTATTTGAACAAATACGGTAAAAATGTAAGTAAGTATACATTAACTTACTTATTTTAGGCGCAAAAAAACTAGGAGGATAAGGCTAATTATAGCACTTATTTAAAATGTATTGATACTATTGTGAGACTTGGAAATACTTTTATAGTAAATCAATGCATATTTTGACGTTGTAGGTATACTTCATTAGGTTATGTTCTAACCTTATATGGTAGCATATATCATATCCTATTTATATATTAGACAAAATTATTACATTGATCATTGTCCAAACATGCTATAATACTATGTTAGAACTCTTACTTTTAAATTGCAATTTATTACTTTCTAACCATATGAAAACAACAAATTATTTTATTACTTTTTGCTCATGTTCATTTTATAACTTTTTATAAGAGAATCTTTTTGTGGCCCACTAAAAACAAATTAATGTGTAATAGATAGAAATCAAAGAACTAAAGAAGCGTGAGTGAAGTGAACGAATAGAAGAAAGTAGTAATCCTAAATTCTGCTTCCGATATCTAGCAGTTCTGGAAGGATTTACAATTGTCTACGAAGTTCCGATATCTAGCAGCTCTTTTCATTTTCAAATTTTTTTTATCGATAGGGTTTAATAATTCTCTATACTCTATTTGATATTTTTCTCTTGTAAGGAATGAATCGTTTGCAAGTTTCTGCTTTCACTCAACGGAAACGACAAAAAGTGTCTGAGCCGGTGTTGACAGATGAAGAGCGCTTACTCTTTAACCTCATAAGTAGCAGGGAAAACATAGGGATCTGGACTGGAGACATGAAAAGAGAAACAAAGCTTCCTACTACTGTGGTCAATAAATCCCTGAAGACACTTATCTCCAAGAATATGATAAAGGAAGTTACTACTATTCAAAACAAAGGTAGAAAGCACTACATGGCAAAAGAGTTTATGCCTTCCGAGGAAATCACTGGTGCTCATTTTTATAGTGATGGGAAACTTGATATCGATTATATAAACAGTCTAAAAGATGTGTGCTTGAAATGCATTTTCATGCAGAAAGTTTCCACATGTGATGGATGTTTGGAGTGGATTAAAAGGAGTGGAGTCTTTAATACTGAAGTCACTAAAAAACAAATGGAAGAGATTTTGCAAACTTTGGTTTTGGATGATGAGATCATGCAGATGATAAGTACCGGACAAGGGGATTTTGCATCTATTCCTGTTGGCAAAACTTGTTACATAAGCAAAAGCAAAGGTGGAGTTAGAGGGGAAAAGAAGACTGCTGACTTGACTTCCTTTCCATGTTTTTCTTGTCAAAGAATGAGCTTTTGCACACCAGATGGCACCATTTCTCCAGCAACATGTGTCTATTATCAGAAATGGTTAGATTTCTGAATGAGTTTTTTTGAAATTACTATCATCTTTATGTAATTACTATCATGACAAAGTTCACTATTATGTAATTACTATCATCTATCTGTCGTAGTAAATTGAATGTAGCATAGAATTTTTTATAAAATTATGGAGGGATTCAATATTTATTGTTTGTATGTGATTCACTGGAATCCCAACATCTCGACTAGCATACGAGATTGAAAAATATGTAGTCATTAATGATGCAGTGTAAGTGGCATGTGGTGGAACAAACTGTAAGGGTAACTCGTAGAGACCACTTAGTACTTAGCCTTTGTATATTAGGAACTCTTGTAGGAAGGTAGATTAACATTGGAATTTGACCTTGCATAGGTATCTCAATTTCTTGTTTATTATCATTGTTTTAGTTATTATTTTGGTTGGTTTTTCTTCTTCAAGGATTAACCATATCTATATACTTAAATTATAGAACTTGACACAAATCATCGCAATCTAAGGTCCCATCAAGAACTTGACTTTTCTTATGAATTTGCAATTCTTTTTGTTTTGAAATTTTGGCGGATGCTTGTTTTCCAAGACAAGTATATCTTGATCTCTGTCTTTGAAGGAGAAATCATTAATTCAAGAATCTCTTTTCCTTTAATTTTTATAGTTCGAATGTGAGTGAAATTTTACATAAAACAATGCTCTACATGATAAAAAATTGTAGGAAATAAAAAAATGTATTAAAAGCTGTAAAAGAAAAGGACCATTAATCATGTCAAATAATGGACTAAAAGTTCATTTTTGTCAAATTAGAAAAAATAAATATGCATGTAAATCAATTGAATATTATAAATTCATTAGTTTTACGAATAAAATATAAATAAATAAAAGTAGTATTTAAATAGTTGATGTTTGTGAATGACATCTAACAACATAAAATATTTTGAACTGACAAAGTTGTTTAACATGTGTTTTTTGATTGAACGATTGAAGCATGCTTTCAAAAATGTATTAAGATTGACTCTATTTTTGCAATCTACATTAATCAAAAATCATCAAATTGTTTGATACATAGACTACACTAATTAATAATAATATTTAATTTTAGAGAACATATTTACATTTCATATATTTTTTATCAGTCTTAGAATTTTTAGGGCTGAAAGAATATTACACATTGATAAATCAATCTTTATATCATAAAATAAATAATCGGAAGAAATTATAAGCTGAATTCAAATTTATATTGAGATGTTTAGAATCTATTGATCTTGCACATATGAATGAAAACTCATTCAGGCAATCTGAGTCCCCCTTGACACTACGTCTACATTCAAAGATGGGAAAATGTCATTCCTTCATTTGGTGCAAACGTCGTTTTGCTAAAATTTCCAAACATTAAATGTTACCAGCCCAGCATATTGTGGTTCAATAGCCAAAACGAGACTAGAGAAAAGACTTGGCTTTTCCCAGTAAACAATGCTTCAACTACGGATACATACATATACCAAAGAAGGGCATAAAAAAGAAACCTATGTCTTAAACTTAATAAAAGCTATTCATCAACTTCATCTAGAAACAAAAGCATATTAACCAGATTAGTGAAGACTCCAACATAGTTTGTTTGTGAATGAAATTTTGCTAGCGAGCTCTCTTGTTACTACTGCATGATGGGCACTTGTACTGCTTGATATGCTCGGCCCGTGCAGGAGTGATCTTCACACATTTGCCATGGAACCACTTCTCACAAATATCGCAGCAAATCCAGAACTCATCAGTGCCATCATTATCACCACAAGCCCCACACATGGCTTCTCCGTGTTCATCATCATCATTCTCTTCCAGTCCTTCCTCCTCATCTTTTGGTTGTAATGCCTTTGGTAGTCTGCTCTGAGTTTCAGGAGCCCGCTGCTCAAACAGTCAACAATAAGATAAGTCAACAGACTACATCAGAAGTAGAAAAGAACACACACTATTAAGGAAATGATGATCCCACAGAATTTCTAACATAGAATTTTGCAATGAAAGGACATCAACATAACTTGTTAAGGAAATTAATCCTCCCATGTTGAATTTTTTAATTTGGAAACCCTGTGTATATCCCTCTTCATTATTAAGTGGAGCCATATCATAGTTAATGGATACTAATGAAGATAGATAACATGATTTTATTATTACCCGGTCGTGTGAAATTTCAACACAAGATGCTCCCTTTCCAACCAGGTATGCATATCATTAACAGTAACTTTAACCATATATTTCTAAAACAATTATGTGATACTGATGTCTATGAATATCCACATTCTAAGCGCCACATTCAAAATGACAGTAAAGAAAATGGTATAGAAATTGAACGCTCTACTTTCTTTTTTTCCATAACTTACACAAGTTGCGGTTCAAATAAAAACAGAAGTCAACAGTTCAAAATACACATCTGCAAGCCATAACTATTTAGTCAAAACTCTCCATGATTTGTCTATGGTTTACCCTGTAATGAGTAGGGCAGACAAAAGATAGTTGGGCAGAAGCCACAAACTAGTTTTCTGAAAGTTTATCTTGGTGCTTCTAGTTCTATTCGGTAAGTTTTCATATCTACTTGTATAGGGACATGTGCACGGTGCACCATACCAACCCATTTCTCTATTTTTTTTATCTAGAGCAAAGAGAATATAAATGATTAAAAACTGAGAAAGAAGTAAGAACATAACCAACACATCATAGCTTCCTATATTGTAGGCTAAGGGTTATACATACCTTTGAGATACCGTGATATGTCTAAACTTTAAGATATATATCATTAATTTAGCATAGATTTAACATAATGTTAAAGCTTAACTTCTGATGATACCTTGCAATATCTTACTGCCTTCCAATATCTTACTAGTTGTAAAATCAAGGAGATGGCTATATAGATTTAGGGCATATGCAATAGGCCCTTTAATTCTTTACCTTGAAGACTTAAATTTAAAGAGGGTTGCTACCTATAAATACTCTACACTTGAAAAACATCCTGAGTTTTACACTGCAATTCAGATAGAAAAATATTTACTAAAAGATGTATGTATTCATTAGCCATGAATGTTTGTCAAGAATTATTTACCACTTTAGAACTGGACTTAGATTTGCTGCCACTGTTGTTTGAGACTGAAGACTTCTCTTTGGCTGGTTTCTTTGTTGAGCCATTAACAATTTCAAATATTGTTGGTAGTTCATTAATCATATTGAATAGACGTTTCCTGCATCAAAAGTGGCAAATTATGACTAGATGAATGCATAATAAAATGCATATGACATTACCAAGTATCCATTACAATACACGGATGATTACATGATGACCGAAAGAGCATCGATTGGGCCTGCTAAGGAAAAGACCACATGATAAGGATCTTGCATTCACATGATATAATCAATATATACGTCCATCTTTCCTTCTTGCACTATCTTAAGATCAATACTCAGCAGATAATAACTGCCATAGAGTTTGCTGCCATGTCTGATGTGACTAAGGTCACAGACTTGAATTGTGGAATCAGCCTCTTGCAGATGCAAGATAAGACCCGCAATGGGTTTGATCCTTCCCTGAATCTTGTCATAACTGGAGCTTTTATCACCAGGTTTCCCCTTTTTCAAGGGAAAATAAATGGAGAACATTGTTTTGTATGCATCAACATCTTTGTTTCCGTGGTGGGATACTGTCTCAACAATGATTTATAAGCAAATAAAATTGCAAATCAACACTGATACTAGAAAAAAGGCATAAGTGGAGACAATTGATCTGTGCTAAACAATAGAACTCCTATTTAACAAGGGGCTATAGAAAAATCCAGCACAACAATGACTAAACCGCTGTAATGATAAGAAAAGTATGATCTAAACTACTGCCTTAATTTAATACTCATCCTGAACCACCTTTTTTACAAGGTGACTTCCGATAAAGATAGATATGCCCCGTGTGATATATACCTGTCAGATCTGTCAAACGCAAATCTAGCTCCAAAGTAGAATGCAAGGGAAAGCAACCATGTATCACTATGAACAGCAACTAAGGATAACCAGTCTTTTTCTTGCATGCCATCCCTAGCAAAGTTGATACCCAGCACAGGCTCAGGAAGCTCTGGAGGAACTTCCTCAACAGGTAAATTCACTTCCCACTTCTCATTAAGTAATCCATATAAGCACAAATTCTCTTTCTCTGAAAGAATAAATAACAGATATAAAAGCTCGTATATGGAACGCAATAGCCACAAAGGAAAGCAAATTAATATAGATGAAACAATTTGTAACATTTACAGTATTTAAATTTGCACCAGTTTAATTTAAATCCATTATATCTTCATCTCTAAATAAAATTGACCCCAAGAGGTTTAGATCAGTATCAAGCATTCCATATAATCCTGCCAGAATTCTATATGACCCTTCCCTAAAAAAGTTCAACAATGAGATTTCCTAATTGGTGACCTTACAGGAAAATCATGCACCATACACCAATCCCTAGTCGGTGTTATTCTCTTCCCATTGCCTATTATTATATATTAAAGAGTTCACAATAAGCTTGAATACCCTATGGAAATATATTTAACCATAGCAGGTTACAAACTTTGCAATATATACAGCTTATCGCAACATTGACTGATGATTAAAAGTAAGGTAGCTCAAAATCCCATAATAGTGAACAGCGAGTTGTCAATTGAAGTATATAACTAATAGGTTTAAATATGCATTTAGTCCTCGCAAATACATCATCGCCTTTTATTTTAGTTCCTCCAACACGAGGAACATAGAGGACTAAATAAATTTTACACACATATTAGAGGGAGCAATTTCTATATGAACAAATTTCGCCATGACCAAAACAAAACAATAGTGAACAGAAGTAAAATGGAATATATTCGTACAAACCAAATGCATATTTTAACCTAACTAACAACTAAACTACGCGAAGCATCCGAATCAGACAAAGCAGTGATACCAAATTTCAAACAACTAAAAGAAATCATTAAAACCTAAAATTATTGAAAAAGAAAAAGGATTCAAATTATAACAACAACAAAACGATATTCATAATATTTTTAAGAGAAATGGAGTTAAACTAACCAGGATCACATTGTCTGTAGAAATCTTCAACATCTGCAACAGCAGCACGACCAAAAATTAGCACAAAAATAAACAAATTTCAAAAACATTTACATGAAATCCAAAATTGACAAGACAGCATGAAGCTAGAGTAGTAGATCAAGCAATGAATTGAAAAATCACAGACCATAATTGAAAAAAAAATGAAAAAATTGCAAGAAATGAAAATTCAAAAAATTAGTACCAACGGTTAGGGCTTTGATGATTCCAGCTCTTCGGCTTTTGAAATCCTCGAAAATATCTTCCACAGAGCGACCTCGACCTTCCATCTGATTCAATGAGAAATCGTTATGGTTATGGTTAAGGGTTTCGTTACAGTAAAAAGCAAAGAGAGAATGAAAACGACGTCGTTTTTAGGTTTTTTTCAGTCACGTTCTCTCGCAACGCAAGAGATGAGACTCACACTAACATAAAGACGAAAACGGTTAAATAATTATTTGAGAAAAAATGAGAGAAACTCAGAGAACAAAAGAAAAACACAACACAACGCAGTTTCTTCTTCCTTCGAGTTAGTGCGTGTGGATTTATTTGTACGGTACGGGATTATCTGTACTCGACTCCACTGTAATCGGGTTATGATATCGTGATGGACGGTTATTGGGAAATTGTGTATTTTAGTTTCTACAGTTTTGTTAATAAAAAATAAAAAGTATATGTGTGCAATGATGCAACCGAATGGGACCCAACTAGATGCAAGCAAAAATGTTTTTGCCTGCTTGCGTTACGTCTAACACTTTTATTTATTATCTATTACAAAATATTTCACATTTTATTATTCAATATTTTAAATTTTATATAAATTTATTTATATTTTAAAATTATATATATAAAGTAAGGTTTTTAATATGATGTGTTACTTGCATATTTATTTTCAATATTTTTATTTTATTTTTTTATTTTTAAAATTGATTGTTGCTATGAAATAGTAATAGATTGAATGAAAATTGTAAAAAAAAAGAATTAAATATAAAGTTATATTTTATTATGAGTAAAACTGGACAAGTCAATAAATAAGAAAATATAGCATACTCTAGCTTATAGTGTTTATATAAAATTGAAATCAAAATTATTATTCTTGAGACTCAATTTCTTTGTAGAGTAATAATTTTTTTTATTTTACATAAATATTCATATATTACTTTGATTTTATCCATTTTTTTTAATTATTTTTTAATATATTTATCTTAAATATATTACAACTAATATATCAATGAGATTATTATTTTTTTAATTAAAAGAAGAACCAAATATATCGATAGACAAAAAGGGCAACACAAGAGACAAAACCAAAACTCCTTACAAGTCTTGGGGTGTCAAGTTTGTCTAACGAAAAATCTTTGTCAATGTCACTATCCATAAAATAGAACCAATCGTCAATTTTAGATGTGAAACTGATGGTGGCTAACGAATTTGCACAAACAGTGGCTTCCTCAAATATATGAGTGACCAAAAAATTATGTCAAGAGTTGAAGCAACATAATCCAACCATTTAGATCCAATCTTACAAGGAACAATGCTAATATTAGAAAAAGTATTGACGACACTAGTAGAATCGGATTCAATTCAAAGGTTGTTACACTTATGCTCTATAACATACTCAATAGCAAAAATAGTTGCCATGAGCTCAACAAACACAGAGCATTCCCTATATCCAAAAAGTTTGCAAAGCTCCCCAAATGATCAACAAACTCATTCTTGAAAATTTCGCCGCAAGAGCAAATGGAAAGGACCCCAACTGCAAAATTGTATGTGTTGCATTTTATTCGTTCCCGACTCGGAGGTTGCCAAAGAATATTAATCGTATTCTTAATTTTGGGGGTGGATAGAAATGTGAAGCTTCTTAAGAATGCAGAAGTTCTCCACGTCTGAGTTAAAATGTTTGATTGTATGAATACCAGCAAACGAAGCAGTTGTCGCTATAAATGTAATGCAGGATTTCCAATTAGTTTTCATACTCTCAAACCTAACAAGGTTACGAGCCTTCTAAATCTCAGAGAAAAGGCACAAAATGGTACCTTTAAAGGTAACTTCGAGTTGATATGAAATTATGGTATCAGATATTAGATATCGAAGGTGATGTTCACGACACAAATATCTGTTTAATAAGAACAAAGATAAACAAATAACAATTGTAAAGAGACACAACAATTGTTAACCCATTTTGATGAAAACGCACCTACGTCTGGGGGCTACCAAGCCAGGAAAGGAAATTCACTAAGTAGAATTAGTTTGAAGACATACAGTAGACTCACTCTAGTTTACCATCTTCTCACCTAATCTCTACCCTTGCAATTTCTATCTAGGACACTCCTAGATATGAGACACCTCTCACCCCCCCCCCCCTCAATTACAACAGTGATATCAATCAACACAAATGAATACTTTATAAGACACTCTTCAAAGTCACAACTCGATCTTGCTTAAAAGCTTCAATTAAGTACAATACACTCTTGCTTACAGGCTTTGAGTGAACAATTTACAATTAACAGCCTAGTCCAATTCGCACATTAAACAATGAGTGAATGACTCACAAATCTAACACACACGAAGCTTAAATCTTACACAATTGCACACACTTTTTAATCCTTGCTTCTGTGATTTCAAGCTAGGGTTTTTGCCACTTTAAATAGTAATGTATAATGGGCTTGGGTTGTGGCAAAAGTAACAGCAGGTTTTGGGAAGATTCCAATCTTCATAAATTGCCACAATAAAATAGATTTGACTTGATCAATCAGATCTAATCAAATCATCCTTCCAATATTCAATCAATCTTCTGAGAATAACTTCATATTAAATAAAATTTGATCCACGGTAAAAATATCAACATTATCTTTGAGGCATTTAATGAGTCATTCCTTTAATGTGGCAACAAAATTAGCTTCCGCGTGGACTGATTTTGTTGAATTTTCATCAAGCTACACAACTTCGAAGTTTCCATTTGGGGCATGTCTTAATGATTTTGCTTTGGTTCCTGATGGTGAGCTAAGTTTTATGCCTTGTAAGACTTCATCTTCTCGTATATCAATGTCAATGATGGTGATGAATTATGCAAGAGTCTTATTTCTTTTATTCTCGATTATCGTAAGAGGGTTCTTTAGCATTGTTTCATGTATCAAACGAGCTTCATGTAGATCAACAGGGAAAACGGTTGGTTCCCTGACTTTATTGTGATACTTCATCTTCATGTGGATTATAGAAGCCACCACATATAACGCCACATTGAGTGATCTCCCCAAGATACAAGTGTAAAAGCTCCCACAAGGAATCACCAATAAATACATGTTCACGTTACTCTCATTTTTCCTTTTTAAATTCCATAACTTCGTTAGGGGGAGTGGTGGAGTCGTTGAATGCCATAAGGTTCTTGCCTTCATATGGTACGAGGTATCGATCATGTAACCATGGTGTTGCACCCCAAAATTTGCCCTCGCCTTTTTTTAACTTTGACTGGCTTTTGCTTTGCATTCATCTGCATATCATCCAGGTCGATCATTTCTCACATACTGTCTGTATTATCATTTGGAATGGGTTTATCGGGATTACAGCCTGTCGCTACTGCGAAAATCGGCGCCGGCTGACAGAAGAGTCGCCACCGTGCGTTATTTATCCCAACGGAGGGAAAGGAAACGCTCGAAGTAAACCTCGCAAAAAACGGGAAAAGGTATGGTCATCGCAACCAAAACCTGGATTCGGGAGTCGGTTACGCAAGGGGAAGGTATTAGCACCCCTCACGTCCATCGTACTCGATGGGATCCATGCTTGCTTGGGTTGCACGGATTATACTTCTATCTAAACTAAAGGATGAGGTCTGAAAAGAAAAGAAAAGATGACTCGGCAAAGCATCGCGCTTTATGCCTACGTATTCCCGTCTGGAACGAGAAATCAGAGTCAACGTAGTTCGCCTAACTACGGGTGAAGGTGGGGAAGGTTGCTCGCTAGGACACTGCATCCTATGCCTACGTACTTCCACACTGCATGAAAGATCAGAGCAAACGTAGTTCGGGCTACGCACGACACAAGCTGTTCAAGTGTCTTTTATGAAAAAATCTCACCTTAAACAAGGGTTTTCTTATTTGCAAAAAGGGTTGATGTTTGTTCAAATCTTTTGACGGAAGAAATGAATTGATTTCTGTTATAACCTTTATTAATGTTTTTCTGTTGTTTTGAAGAAAGAAGAGATGACACTCTAAAATCCTAGGGTTGAAAAAGGGATAAAATCTACCTTAATGTTATCATGCATGGGTTAACTCCTAATGTCTATCATGCTCCTCTCTTGCGCAGAGAGAAACAGAGCTCCTAAGGGAATAGACGGAAACAGAAACAGCAGATATATACAATAAAACAGTAAAATGCATGGATGCAACAATACAAGCGAGGCAAGGGAGTCCCACTCAACCTCGAACCTAGAAAACAATAGGCAAAAGTGAACAGAATTCACTTTCAACCTAACAGGTTAAACAGCAAACAATACAGTCCGGGAAATTCAATCAATACATCCAGAATTATCAACAGCAAAAATAAACCGCAAAAGCAACTCTGCATCAGCATCTGCAACCATCTTCAGGCTTCAAGCAGCATCAGTCTTTTATCTTCAATCTCCCAATGGCTTTTCTTCAAGTCCTACTCTCCAAGCTGAGGAATCAATCACAAGAATGAACTGGGTGTTAAGCAATTAGTTGACCACCAAAGGTCGCAAACAGACTGCTATCAACACATATAATATTTCTCTCAAGAGTTCTATCTCTTATACACTATCACCAAGCCTTCCAAAGGAAGGGGGTGAGTGTCTTAGAGAGACTCTGCATCACAGAGAAGGATGGAGGCAATCAAGACCTTCCATGTTTGTGAACCAAGTTTTCTACTCTAGAGCTCTGCCTAACTCCTAGATCCTACAAACTTCAACAGCTGCCAGCAAGAGATACTCCTCATCAACTCTGGAAGTTGGTCTTCAGTCTTTAATCTTCAAATGGGCTTCATCAACACAGTCTTCAGCTCAAACCCCAAGCCCCAAACAAACCCAATACCCCACACAGGCAAATAATAACCCTAAAGAGGGCACACCACACAGTCAATCAAATACAAGCAATATACTAATAGCAGTAGGGGAATCCTAATATTTTCTAAGGGATCTATTATCTACCCATAACCCCTATAGTCCCATACCCCAAAATCAAATCAAAATTCCTAAAAGAAATGATCTATCTCACCTATGCTCACTTAAAACCCTAATTTTGATTACTCTAATCTCACCTAATCAAATCACCTAAAA